GCTTGCCTAACTGCTTATTTATATTATTCTCTTTATTAACTACAATGGTTGTATCTTTTAATAAGATGATGACTACTTCAATGTTAATTGTAGAAAACAAAAAACTTAAAAAAGAGATTATAAAAAGAAAGAGTTAAGAATTGAATCTAATTGGAAATCAAGATTAAATTTTTTTGCTAAAAATTTTTCAGTTGCTGGATAAGCAGTATTATTAAAATATTTAATAATTTGTAGATAAGTAGTTTTTTGGTTTTTGATAACATTAAAATAGGTGATAATTTGAATAAGGAATTTTGTATCAATGATGTTTTTTGTAAAAAGATTGATTACCTCCTTCTTAAAAAAAGACTGTATGTTGTGATTTTTAGTAATAATTTGATAATAAGAGAGAGATAACAATAAAAGTAGTAATTACAGCATTTTAGGTTGGTTTTGACTTTATTTTATATATATACAAAGTCTTCAGCTTGGTTAGCTAATTTGTCTAAAGCTTTGGTAGGAATAGGTTGGTCAAGTAAGACAACATGTTCTTTGTTTTTGTGAAATAATGTAGTATTTAGAGTTAGGTGAATCCATACTTCATTATCTTGAGAGAGAAATGATAAGCAGGATTTGGTTAGAATATTATTGAAGAGCTTGGTACTATTATAAAGTTTTTTATCATCAAGATATTATCATGACTAGTTTTCACAAGATGATGAAACTTAGTAACTCATACTACTTCTTCATGACATTTATGAAGTAAGTGGGTTTTTGGAATATATAAGATTTAGGAAAGTGTTTAGATAATTGGAAGATAAAATATTGTCAGAATTGAATTTTAAGAGAGGTATAAACTTTCTTTTTATCAATATTGGAAGAGAATTATTGACTGTAAGATGGAAAATAAGTTTCAAACCAAGAGTTAAAATGATTAAGAGAGTTTTTAAATGAAGGAATACAAAATCTCTCAAGAAAGAGTGTTTTAGAGACATTAAAAAGAAGTTTAATATTAAATTTTGTATCTGATTGAATAGTGAGATATTTTTGTTAAAGGTCAGTTATTTGAATAAAAGATTTAATTTTGAATCTTTTAGGTCTAAGTTTTAAGTCTTCAGCAAATTTTTAATAGTTGATTGATTGATAATTATTAGATAAGAAGAGATGAAACTATGCAAGATTGAGATAAAGTTAAAGTTATTGTGAGCAGTATATAGGAGAACAATAATTGGTAAGAAAAAAATTTCAAGATAGTTAAGTTTGGTAAAAAGAATAATTATGAATTTGAGAATAAGATTTTTAAAGATAGATTCAAGAAAGTCAAAAGGAATAGTAGCACTTTTGTCAATATTGAGGTCATTATTATAAATGAGATTAGTTAGAAATTCAGGCTGTTGCCTAGTCATTATATGAATAATATAGTAGATTGAGGCTTTAAGTACTGGTTGAGTAACAGTAGCTGGTTTGATTTCCTTGTCAGAATAAAAGTCATAAAGGAATTTTTTGAGAAAAGTAAAAAGTTAAAGAGAAAATAGAGTTTGTAATTTTTTATTAGATTGCATTTCTTCAGTAATAGGAAAGTTTGTAACTCAATCATATGTGGGATTAGATTTTGGCTTGACAATACTAGAATAGGATTGAGGAAGAGGTTTGTTTAAAGTATTATTAAATTGTTTAGAATTGTTAAGATTGTTAGAATTTAAGTTGAATTATTAAGAATAGTAATAATTAGAAGTTGATTAAAAACAGGATTGGTATTAGTAGCTGTAGAGAAGAAAGAATCAATAAGATTAGAAGCAGTTTGAGAAGTTTGATGAAGAGAAACAATAGGAGGATTAGTAGTTTGAGAAGATTTATTTAAGATATTTTGAAAGGTTTGTGTAAGATTTTTCTTGATATAAGATGAGCTGGCTTTATGTTGAGATAAAGCAGTTATGCAAACAAGATGATAAACTTCATTATTTTTTGTAACATATATTTTGTTAAGATAGTGATGCTTATTTCTTTTAGTACAGTCAATTGGAAGAGAATATTTAGAACAGATATGGTAGTATATGTCAAGTATAGGAGATGAAGGAATACTGTAAGTTAAAGAAAAGAGGTTAGTCATTAGTTGTAAAGTTAATTTATTTAGATTTTTTTGGAATTGCTATTGATATGAACTGTAGTAAGTTCAGTAATTTAAGTATAATTAGTATTGACAGGTGAGATAAATTTAGTGTGATATTTGTTACAGAGACAAGTAATCACAGAAATAGAGAAAAAAGCTTGTAAAAAGTAAGTAATTTTGTTAGATCAAAGGTTTTTGATTAAGTAAGAAGTAGATTTAAATTTAAGAGAAATTGAATGAGCATTGTTGCCACTTTTTTTTTCATAAAGGACAATTCCAAAACTGTTAAAAAATTTTAGTAAAAAATTTCTTTAAATTAAAATTGTAATCAAATAATTAATTTGCAAGAGTAATAATTAAAAACAGGAGTTATATAGTTGAAACATCACTAGAATAGTACAAGATGTAACTAAGATGGTTAGGATTACTGATGTGATTTAGATACAATACACAAATAAGATTTGCAATATAGATTATTATGTATTATTAATAAGAACCAAATATAGAAATAATTAAATAATATTAAATAAATTTCTATAAATAGATAGGTTACAGAAAATTTTTGTATAAATTAATTAAGTATGAATTGGGAAATGATGGTATGATTACATAAAAAATGTATAAAGAAAAAAGAGTATAGGTAGAAACAAAAATTAAAAAAAAATTTTTACAAGAGAGAAAAAAGAAATTTTGTTGTAATTTAGCTAATATTGGGTCAAAATTCTTTGTTTAGAGCTTGTTTTGACTAGACAAATGTGTATTATAACTTTAATTAAGACTATAAAATAAATTATTGTAGTAAAAACTGTGAAAAAAATTAAATTGTTAAAACTGGGGCCAAAGAACCTCAGTAGCTTTTTCTCGATGGATTTAAGAATTAGAAATATAATATTTGCAGAATATATGTAAAATTGTAAGCTGAACAAGTTTACTTAAGATACTAGGACAGGTTACTTAGTAAAATAAATGGTTATAAGCATTTTTATATGAATGAGTTTTTAGTTAATTTTTTGTGTAATGGATTTGCAGAAAGAGTTTTTTTTTAATTTAATTAAAATTTTAATGTATACATATATACATTTGTATATAAAATATGCATATAGTATGTATTCAAAAATAAATCAGAATATGTTTAGAATTGTTAAAAAAATGTTATTTAATATGTAAATTAGGCTACATTGATAATAATTCTATTTATTTATTTAATGATTCCAATTCTATTATTGAAATACTACTATTATCAATATTAGACAAATAGATTGGATCAATTTCTTTAATATCTTTATAGATTCCTTTCTTATAAATTATATTATCTATTTTTATATCTTTATTATTAATTTTTTGAGTAACTTTGCCATTATTATTAATTCTGGTATCAATCCTGTTGCTTATTGTTTTCTTTGCATATATTCAAAGATTTTTATAAATATAACTAGTTTTTTAACTTGATTGTTATATAAATAATTATGAAGCTTGTTGTGAATAAAACAAATGTAGAAAAATTTCATTTGGCTGCAGCAGATGATATTGGAATCTTAAAATTTTTAATTGCTTGTTATTTAAGACTATTATTAGACATAATTTCTACTATAATGCTATAAAAAATTATTAAATTTGTATTTCTTTAGTTAATAATATTATAAAATTTTATTGACTTTAGGATTGTTTAAATAAATAATAAAAAGAAAATATCTAGATCAAATGTGGTATCTGATTTTCAAATAATATAAGTATTATATTGTGAACTTTTGTTTTAAAATTTAACAATTTTAATGAATAATTTTACAGAATTTTCTTGTTCAAAATTTTTGATTGGCAAATTTTGTAAATACATTATATTCTATAGGCTCTATATTATAAATTCTGTAAAATCATGAATTAAGCATATAAACAACCATCATAATAATATGATAAACATAATTTCATCATTCTTCAATTAAAGTTTGAATTTCATTAAGAAAATTACATGAAATTTGTTGAATCATATTTATCATTTTTTTAAATTAGAATAAATAGATGAAAGTGTAGTACTGTCTAATTTGAATAGTTTTAATATTGCTATAATCAGCTCTAAAACACTTGTAATTAAATCTAAATTTTCTCAAAATTTATCATATAATATATAAATTCTAAGACTTGTATCTATAGTTTCATAAATTTTTAAATCTATTAATACTTGTTCAATTGCAATTCTTGATTTTTTGAAGTAATTGAAAACAGTTAAGATGAGTACTCTACTATGTTATTATTTAAAAAATTAATGCAATTTCTTTATTATAGTTATCAAGTTGAATTTGCTTAAGTTTTGATATTACTTGTGAATGTAATTTAAAGTATTTAATCAGCTTTGTTGCATTATTAATAACTATTTTTATATTATAAATTTTCAAAATATCTTTAATTAACAGATTTAAAGTGTGAGAAATGTATTCAAACAAACAATATTAAAATGTTTTTCTTCAATAATATGTCATGTTACTTTTATTATATTAGCTGTATTTATTATAACCACTAAAAATTTCTCAATATTAACTATTTCTATTTGTTTAATTATTTGATTAGCAATCTATTCTACTATATGAAAAACTTCACCTGAATAAGCAACATCAAAAAAATTAGGTTTTGGTGTACAAATAATAAAATTTTATACAAATTTCTAATTAAAGTTAGACCAACCATTAGAGATTATATATAAACAGCATGCTTCTAAAATTCGTTTATCAGATTTTTCCTTACTATTATTATTAATCTTATTTAATAATTCATCTGCAAGCTTTTTCTAATTTGGTAATTTAGATGCAGGGTGAATACATTGAAAGAATTTTATTATATAAGGATTTTTTAAAAAAGTGAATGGTACTCCTGTTGCAAACAAGTTCTGAGCTAATATAAGCTCAAGAGATTCTTGTTCTTATTCACTTAAATGATCTATAAAATTATGAATTAGTATAATTTTTAACCATTTTGGAATATGTAAACTAGTAGAAGCATGAGATATCAATATATTAGTTGGAATAGTTGTTTGTTTTTTAGATTTTGATTTAACATTTTCTGATACTCCCAAATAATTAATGTCAAGATGCATTTGCATTCGAGTAGCAATTCCACATTCAAAAATGTTTGGACAATAATTGCATTTTACATGAGGATGTGGTTTGTCAATTTCAGATTGATATTCAACTTGACCATTAGTTTGGTCTTCAACTTGATCTTCAGTTTGGTCTTTGGCTTGATCGTTATTTTGATTTTCTTTAAGAATTTTCCAATGATTCCATACAGCAGTCTTACTTTTTCCCATTATATATTATATAGTATTATTATAATCGGTATTATTTATTAAAATTATCAATTTTTTTAATGATAAAAATTTTTAATTTTTATTGGCTGATTTTGTTACACCAACATATTATACCAATTATACGGCATAATTTTAATTATACTATACCAATTATACGGTTATTATACTATTTTTTTTATACAGTATCGTATAATTGCCCATCCCTAATTGTATGACACATGTTTTTGCAGATCAGTATAGTATAGGTCGAAATTAAAAAGGAGTAAAAGCAGTATAGATGAGCAGATCAGTATAGTATAGTCCAAATTTTAGAATCTATACCATACTAATCCGGTGTTAGGGTTAGTATAGCTTTTATTTCCTTTTTTTATTTTTAATCTAGAAAACCCTAGAACGTCAGTGGCGTACTTCTTTTGTTTCATTTTAATTTCACCTATACTATACTGATCTGCTATAATTTTGTTTATAGTCATTACAAAACGATTGTCTTTTTGCATAATCATGACAGCCAAGTTTTTCGAGCAACTTTCTAATAATTTGAACGAACTTCTTAAAGATAGTAAAGAATTTAATGTTATTATCGAAGTTGGTCAAGAGCCAAATATTCAAGCATTTAAAGTACATTCTATCATCCTAAGTTCTCGATGTTTATATTTTAAAAATAAATTAGACGCAATTAAGTATAATAGCAATAATGTGAAAACAATAAAACAAGCTAATATTTCCGTTGAAGTATTTGATATTATCATCAAGTAAGTACTAATGTGCATGTATAAGATATAATTTCAAGTTTAAAATATTAAGTTATATATATATATGTAGGTATATTTATAATGGCATCATTTCTTTAGAAACAGTTAATGTCTCAGTTATCTTTGAACTTTTGATTGCTTCTAGCGAATTTGGTCTTAAAGAGTTAATTAAGCATATCCAGTTATTTTTACTTGAAAATAATCCTTCCTGGTTACGTCTTAACTTTTCTCGCGTCTATCAAGTTAGTCTTAAGGATGATAATTTGAAAGAATTACAACAATTTTGTGCAAACATTATTGCTAAACATCCAAATATAGTTTTTGATTCAAATGAATTTCTTACTCTTTCAGAAAATATTTTAATATTTATTTTAAACCTTGATAACCTACAAATGGATGAAGGAAAAATTTGGGATTATACTATTAAATGGGGGATAGCTCAAAACCCATCGTTACCTCCCAATCCTGATCAATGGTCTGATGATCATTTTTTAACTTTAAAAAATTCACTTCGAAACTGTCTTCCTTTAATTCGCTATTTTCAAATGTCTGGTGAAGATATCTTTGATAAAATTCGACCTTACCAGAGAATTCTTAACACAAATTTGTGGATTGATATTATGCTAAAATTTATGGCACCAAACAAATCTATTAATATTACTTCACATATTTTACCTCCACGTACTAATTTATCTACAACACTACCCTTACGAGATGTTATTTCTAATGCAGCTAATTGTTCATCAGAAATTGAATCGAATAAAGCATCAGAATTAAGAAAAAGTGGTGAAACTTATCGTATTATAGGTAAATATGAAGAGTCACTTATAGACTTGACTAAATCATTAGACATTGAACCAAATAATGCGTTTGCATTGAAAAATCGAGGAGTTACTTATTTTAAGATGAAAAAATATGAAGAATCACTCGCAGATTTAAACAAATCTTTGGAAATTGAACCGGATGATGCATTTGCGTTAAGACATCGAGGAAATACTTATTTTTTGATGGATAGAAATGAAGAATCACTTGCAGATTTAAATAAATTATTGGAAATTGAACCGAATAATGCGTTTGGATTAAAGATTCGAGGAGAAATTTATAGATTAAAGAAAAGATATAAAGAATCACTTGCAGATTTAAATAAGTCATTAGAAATTGAACCGGATAATCCATTTGCATTAAGAGCTCGAGGCAATACTTATCGTCTCATAGGTAGATATAAAGAATCACTTGCAGATTTAAATAAATCATTGGAACTTAAACCAGATGATGCACTTTCGTTAAGACATCGAGGAAATACTTATTTTATGATGAATAAAGTTGACGAATCACTCACAGATTTAAATAAATTATTAGACATTGAACCGAATAACTCGTTTGCATTAATGATTCGAGGAGAAATTTATCGATTAAAGAAAAGATATAAAGAATCACTTGAAGATTTAAATAAATCATTAGAAATTGAACCGGATAATGCATTTGCATTAAGAGCTCGAGGAAATACTTATCGTTTCATAGATAAATATGAAGAATCACTTGCAGATTTAAATAAATCATTGGAACTTAAACCAGATGATGCATTTTCGTTAAGACATCGAGGAAATACTTATTTTATGATGAATAGAATTGAAGAATCATTTGCAGATTTAAATAAATTATTGGAAATTGAACCGGATAATGCGTTTGCATTAAGTATTCGAGGAGAAATCTATCGATTAAATAAAAGATATAAAGAGTCAGTTGTAGATTTAAATAAGTCATTAGAACTTGAACCAGATAATGCATTTGCGTTAAGAGCTCGAGGAAATACTTATCGTTTCATAGGTAGATATAAAGAATCACTTGCAGATTTAAGTAAATCATTGGAAATTGAACCAGATGATGCATTTGCATTAAGTGTTCGAGGAATTACTTATCGTATGATGGATAGGTATGAAGAATCACTTGCAGATTTAAATAAATCATTAGAAATTAAACCAAACGATGCATTTGCGTTAAAAGTTCGAGGAGCTACTTATCGTTTAATGGGAAGACATGAAGAATCACTTGCAGATTTAAATAGATCATTAGAAATTGACCCAAATGATGAATGGGCATTAAACCAACGTAAAATAACTAATAATTTATTAAGTAAATAAATTTCATTTGCCGATTTATAATAAAGTTTGAATTGGGAACGTTTGATGCAATTTTGAGAGTTATAAGTTGAATTTCAAATATTCCAAATATCAATAAGTTAGGCCAGATTAGGGATGTCAACGGTTCGGTCATGACCGGTCATGACCGTGACCGATACCAGTTCGGTCACAAATCCTGACCGACCGAACCGACCGCTTGACCGATACTATATTTTTTATTTATCATTGTAACGATCTGTAAAATACTTATCATGATACAAAAATAGGTTTGATTATAAGTATTGTACTGAAATTATTGTTATATACAACTTTAACCAATTAGTTAAATGATATTTAATAAATATTCATATATCGTATATCGAT